GTGGGCAGTGCTCCCGTGAAGAGTATGACAGCTGTCCTCTGCAACTGTTCCACGTTGGCTCTGGACAATGTTTGGTTTAGCGCAGGCCACCATACGGTGACCCCGTAGAAAAGGATGGGTCTTAACTAATTATCACAGCTGTGTACATTCAGTATACTTTTATATGTTGTTTTATTCCCCATTTTTTGCCTTAAAGGCAAACAGAGCGATATTGGCCTTTCTGAAGCGGTCTTCAATGTTTCAGTTCCAGTCCAATTTCTTGTCTATAATAACTCAAAGGTATTTGACTTCGGTTGAGAGAGTAAGTGCGACCCCTTTTGGGATGGGAGGTTTAAATAGAGGAGTTTTATACTTGCTTGTGTCTGCTTTGGTAGAATTGACACTGAGTACACATTCATTGGACCGGATGTTTACCAGACTGAGTGCGTATACAACAATATGGCTTTAAAAAAAAATTAAATTTTTCAACGGAAAAGGAGTAACGTCCGTAACGTAACGTCCCGAACGTACATATAAATTTGTTTTAAAGTTAATCCAATCTTTTGTTTGCTTTTATATCACATTTTCACTTTCTCTTCACTGCTTTCTCTTGAAAGTATTTTGCTCTCCAGGGATGACAATTTACGCAAATCGGTTGACTTTGATATCCAAATCTCTTTCTTTTTTAGGAACGTTCGAATATAAATTTCGAAGCCAAATAAACCGACATTAATACAAATTCAAATTTTCATTATTTTGTTCTCATAAGTACTGTAATATAAATCTACCCTTACACCACAAAAAATTTTTAACTCATAATATTTTTTTTTTCGGCAAAAAAGTTAAAAAAAAAACATCCTCAACGCTAGGACAGTGAGTCAAACAAATGTTCACGTGATAATTTTTATTAAATATTCATAATATTCAAAAAATCGACCCCAGTTTTTAAAAATGCCATTTGTTATATATGTAAAAACACCGCTAAAGCACTCTTCATAGAAAAAATTCTCAAAAATCAAGGCGATTTTTTAGCCATTTGAAGCTTGCACTTCATTAGACTAAAATTGTATAGGCTGTAAAACTGCATACCCAAAAATGTTCTAAAGATTCAGATTAAAAAGGTAAAATTTTTATGAAAATTTGTTGAATTTTCCTAAATTTCGTTTACGGCTTGAAACTGTTATTTATCAGCCCGATTCTAAATACAAATTCCTTGGGAAATTTCGCACTTCTCTCTATCTTCTTATTCTGAACAAAAATTCCTTAGGAGTTTTTCTCTTCTTCCTTTCCTCTTATTCTGAACAACGTTCCAAAAAGGGCAAACAAAATTTAGAGATGCCATTTTTAAAGGATTTTTTCCCCAACTGTTTTGAAAGCAACGCTGAAGAAAAATTTAAGTTTAGCAATTTTTAATGGAAAAAATACTAATTTCTAATAAAAAACAGTAATAATGTACTACAATCATTCTTATTTAAGGTCGAAAAGCCAAAATAATCAGCAATTGAGCACAACATAATTTCAAAATGTTCAGTTACTTCTTTGAGAACTTTACTGAAGGTGGACTGGGCTGAGAAAGCGATACATTATTTAAAATATATGTACAAATGGTATGTGTTGGTATTTGCAATGATTGCGGCTACTCAAGCGGATTCGTATTATCGCGCAGGCTCCTTCTTATAGATCTCTGTTGAGTTTCCTGTAGCTCCAATTCGCCATGTACATACTTCCTCCACAGCCACATGAAAGGCAATACTATGCATTCTTTTTAATATTTTCTTAAAGCGATATAAAATTCAACAAAAAGTTCAAACTTTTGAATTCTCTCAAAATGTCTAAATGAAATGTCATTTGGCAAAACAGCTGATTTCGAATATTCGAAATTCTACTTCCTCAATTATTACTCTACCTTGCGAAAAATAATAGTAGGATTTTTTCTCGAGAAAAAAAAATTCTTGAGAATATTACTCCGCGAGAATATTTAAAATTGTGCTGTATATGTTATTGGTTAAATATTTGACGCTGAAGGTAGGAAGACTAACGGACAGCAATTCGCTTTTTTACATTAAAAAGACGAGATAAGAAAAGGCTTTTTGTGGTTTTACTTTTAAAATATGTATTTGATTTTAAATTTTTATTCGCATTACTTCATACCTAAATATACATACATACACTTAGCAAAATTATACACATACCGTAAATTTTTTCCAAATATTATATGCGTTTTTGGTAGTGTGTGTGTATTTGGAGGATACACCAATTTTATTTTATTTACGTACATAAATGTGTATGTAGATACACTTATACAGCACACAAATATTCGAGCGACATATGTATGTATGTATGTATGTATGTATGTGTAATATAGTATTCACATAAGTTTGATTATATGTTTGTCACTGTTTATGAGATAAATGTGATGATACGCACAGATGCATCTTTATGTATGTATGTATGTATGTGAGTGACAACCGAAAAAAGTCTATTTTATTTCGAGTTTCACTTATTCGATTAGAGTTATTTGAGAGTCTTTTGTTGTCATTGTAACTAGTACATACATACTCGTATGTATTGCAAGTGAGATTATAAAACTGAAGTTTTTCTTTTCCATATGAAAGTGTGGTCAGAATTTTGTGAAATTAAATTAATTCAGCGCTTAATTACGTTTTATTTTATATTTGCATTAATTCTGCATTTGTGAACTGAAAAATTATTATTTTTTTATTGATGTACAACTACCAGCTTAAATAAATGTATTCTTAGTATTAGTTTTTTCTTTAATTATTTACTTTTATTCTTATTGTTTTAATATATTTTTGTAGAAGGCATTTGTATGGGTATATGTATATACTTTTCTAAAGTTACATACTTGCTTTTTTTGTATTTATATCTAATTGTTTTATGATATACGTATTTTGAAAAATCTACTAAGTACATACTTATTAAATAGCTCAAAATTAGATTCACAATTACATAATGCTAAATACATACTTATAGCTAAGTACAATTTTTAATCGAGTGTATCTATATTTAGTTGCTATTTACGAGTTTTTGGATTCTCATATTGCATTTTTGTGAAATTTGTGTATGTAATTGTATGCATTCTTCTTTATGTATGTGTGTGTGTGAGTGTATGCTTAGACCAGTGTGAATGTTACACTTAACAGTACTATGACTGCTACTTACTATATTTATATTTATGTTATTAACAGTGAGGGTTTACATCGGGACATTTACATATGTATGTATGTATGTAAAAAGGCCATTAAGGAAATTACGTTGGCGAAATTCGAGAAAAATAATCACAATTACCATAAACTGAGTTTTTTTTAGTTAGAAAATAAGATTCGTGACAAAAATTAAATAAAAATCTATGCTAACAAAAAAAATCGAGATTCCTTATTAAAATTACACGCCATACTATCCCGAGATTGTCGTTTATAATAAAAAATATAACAGCTTCTGCGTTTTTCTTCATATTTTCAAAAATAAATCTCCTGGAAAAAAATTTAATTTTCGGCATTGAGTTTTTTCTTTGATATTTCTAACAAAAAGTGGAAACTCGTATTTCTTTTTTAAATATTTGAACACAAATGTCAAGAGCTTAACAACTAAATTGAGCCATTTGTTTACACTATGTAACATGAGTGTGTAGCGAAGTAGCCTTAAGTGTTAAAAATTGTTAGACACATATTTTCCTGCTTGGCTATAACTAACCGTTAGGTTTCTACACGCTTAACGCTAGCGAGAGTATAAAAATATGTCTGCATGTGAGATACTACATATGTATATATTTTTACAAGTCCAAAAATAGTAAAAAGCAGAAATAGTTAAAAATAAACTATTGAATTGGTTTTGAGCTGAGACCCTCAGTTTTGTTTTGTTTGTGAAAAAATTCGAGTTTTTGTTCTATAATCCATTTAAAACTAGTTCTAAATTAGCTTAAATACATTAATTACAATTTAAAAATTGTCGCCGCGCTCATAAACTTTTAAAAGTTTTTTGTTCAACGAAGGAAACTTAAAAAAAAAAATATTTAATGCAAAAACGTATTTCTCATTACGAAAATAAACTGTAAGCTGAAGCGATTTTTTGTTTATTTTCTAACCCCACATTTTTTAACGCTCCACACTTTGCGAGTCGATTTGGCATTTTTCGTTCTCTAATCCACCAAGCCTCTCTAACACAAAGTTGCATTTCGTGCGCTCTCTCTATTACGCTTGTGTCTCTCGCCCTTTCGCTTCCCATTCTTAATTTTCAATTACTCCTCTCTCTAACTGCGCGCCTCTTTCTCGCTCTCTTTCATTATTTTTTCATCGCCTTAAAACGCGTTCATGTCTCAGGCTCATCGAAACAACAGATCGTCGTCGAACTGAAACACTTCCGCTTTCTCCCTATTCTATACATCGCTCTGCTTGGCATTTGTATTGATAATGAAAGCGCCATTGATGTGTCCATTCGGTGTCTTGCCATTCATGTGATACTGTGTCGCATTGCCATTTGCCATCTTACCATTTGGTATGATAATCGCCGTCTGCGGTGTGCCACCATTCAAATGTGCTATCAAGGGATTCTTCGCCGCCATTGCTGGTGGCGTAGTGGGTGAAGGCGTTACCGGTGATGGTTTGATCAGTTCGAGCTTATCATCGACTGAGCTCTTCATTGCGCTCTTCTCCAGTCCACCGCCGCTGCCGCCGCCGCCTGCTTTTCTGCTCGGATGTGGCATAGCATAGCGCAACTTGTCCCAGAAGTATGGATCACCCCATTTTAGGTAGGTGTTTGTCTTGAGGTAAGCCTGAAGTTCGCTATCCAAATTTTCAATGTTTTCAATGTCACTGTAGATGATAACTATCAACCGATTGCGTTTCTCGTTGAGCGCCGACTGGTGTGCGGCACGGAATTCCATGCGCGCCCACACTGACTCGATAAAGTTCTGCGACAGCACTACAATGGTGCGTCTTGATTCGTCCACCGAGCGCACAATCTGCTCAGGTATACAGCCGCCAACAATGAAGTCACGCACGTGCACGCACAGCCTGAACGGTATAGGGCCATGCTCTAGCTCGGGCACAAGGTAGTCGGCGATGAAGGCTTCATCTTTGTGTGAGTAGGAAACGAAAGCATCGTATTTCTTGTCCTTGTCTAGCTCTTCTTCGGTGACGAACCACAGACACCAGTTATGCGCGTAGAGGAAAACTTTAATTTCTTGATTGTATTTGTAAAACAGCGCTACACAAATGCCTATTAGCAGACCGAGCAGTGCTATGATGATGCCGAAAGCGATGACCAAACCTATTTCAGTGGGACAAATGTCCGCAACGGAAATATCTTTGAACAGCTGCACATGTTGCGGCTTTGCCGAATCGACGGCGCAGCGCATCTGATTGAAATCACGCACGGACAGCTTCTGCAGTACTGCAGCGTTCTGTGTGAACTCAAGCAGCGGCTTCGCTTCGCAGTCGCAAACCCACGCGTTGTGTGATAGTAGTAGGCCCTCGATCGCGCTGCTGCTGTTCAGGAAATTCAGCACGCTTATGTTAAGCCGCTGTAACATGTTGTGACGCACGTCCAAGTACTGCAGACCCACGGGCAAGTTGTTGACATCGATCTGGCGTAGTTGGTTGCCGGCGGCATGAATTCGCTTCACATCCGCATAACCGCTGGTGGTGGCCAAAGGTAGCCTGGCAATATTATTGTTCTCTACAAACAACTCAATGCCCTTGAGTAGCGGCTCGTGCGGCAGTGTTGGCAAACGTGTCATATTACCATTGGAGCAGTTCAGCAAGAGCATAAGATCGTGCGGACGCACCCAGCATTCGCAGCCGCGAGGACAACGCTTTACGCTGGAGGCGCTGTCGTCCAGTGGACACACCAGTTCCATGTAGCTGAGTTCGTGCATATGCTTATCCTTCAACGCTGGCGGACCAGCACATTGCAAATTGGATGTTGTCAGATCGATTTTGTACTCGAATTTATCTTTGAATTCGCCGAAAACGAACTGCAAGAAGGGTAGCATTAGGCAGTCGCAGTGGAGCGGGTTATTGTTGAGGTCTATGTGCACTACGCGATCGGCGAAAGGCGCGTCCATGATTTTGATTGTGTTGAAGTTGATTTCGTGTATGAGATTGTGCGTGAGATTTACCTCGACGCTATGCCTGCTGAGGAACTGCAGGTCTTGGTCGTGGAAGATGGTGATGTTGTTGTAGCTGAGATCGAGCTTTTGCAGTTCGAGTAGTTGGGTCTTCCAGTCATTGAAGATGTACATGATGGAGTTGTTGCGCAAGTTCAGCTCTTCAAGCTGGTAGAGGAATTGGAATGGTGAGCTTGCATCGAAATCAGAATTCGAATGCTGGCTGGGTTCGAGCATGGCGGCATGCGCTTCGGTGAGATCGATTTTGTTGTTTTCCAGATTTAAGAATTTCAAGTTGGCCGTGTCGTGGAAGGCATTGATATTGATTGTAAAGAGGTTGTTGTTGTCTACGTGTAAGATTTCCAGACGCACCAGTGGATTGAAAAGTTCGCTGTTAGCGGAAAAAATGTGGAAAAAGTTGTTTATTAGTGTAAATTGCAAATGTTTTAAAACGGCTTTTATATTTATCGTTGTACAGTTTGTTTTGCTTACCTTGAAATTTCTGTGAGCTGATTGTGCGACAGTCTGAGTTCCACCAAGTTTCTTGTGTTCTGGAACAAGCCATCTGGCAGCGTTTGTAGCCGATTATGCGTCAGGTCCAAATCGTACAGCTCCGGTTGGTCGAATAGCAGCTTAGCTGGCAAGGTAGTCAACATATTTTCCTTCATAGTCAAATTTGTCAGTTTTGTTGAGTTTTTAAACAGATCCTCGGGCACTGCCTCGAGCTCGCAAGTCAAACGCACATCCTTCAAATGCGGCAAGTTGGCAAAGAGTCCAGACGGCAGCGAGATGAGTGCCACACGATTGTTGATCAAGCGGAATTCAGTGAGATTTTTATTGTTGGCGAAGAGTCCATAAGGCAAGTCGCGTATATGATTGGCATTAATGTAGATGCTGCTTAGATTGGTTAGTGGCTGAAAGACGTCTGGTGCAAAGGTTTCAATATTATTGGCACTCAAGTCTATGTCGGTCAATGCAGTGGCATCCTCGAATACGTCTTTGGTGAGATTACGCAACTGGTTACCCCACAAATTGAGATGCAACAGTTTTTGCTGGTTCTTAAAAATACCCTTTGGTAATGTTTTCAAATTATTGTGTCCAAGTTCGAGGAATGTCAAACTTTTTAGTGGCTCAAATAGTTTTTCCGTTAAGTTTACATTATTCGAACGCAAGTCCAACCAATTCAAATTGCGTAAATCGGCAAACAAATCTTCCGGCATGTGCGTCAAACTGTTCGAGCTGAAGCGTAGGTGCGCCAAATTCTCCAAATCGCTGAGATGGTGACGCGTCAGATTGGCGCCCAATTCGCCACTTTCGAACATCAAATAATTCACCTTTGTTATGCCCAAGTGTTCGAAGAGGCGCGCGATAGGCGTATGTCCCGGCAGCGGGCAGTGACGGATCTGTACGATTTTACTAACGCCAATCGACATGCGCGGCAGTAGGCTGTATTCGCGCGCATCCACACGATCGCATTCGATTTGCACATGCTCGCCGGGACTGATTTGTAAAGTGAATTTCTGATTAAAATCCATGGGCGGGCATTGAATCTCGAAGCGTGAGGGCATCGTTGAGCATTGGCAATGCGAGTTGGCGCCGAGATCACGACAGTCTTTTTGTGAGAAGACGGCCAAAGTGGACGCCGGCAGTTGGCAAGCAATGATGAACACAGCGAGCGCGATTGCGAATGTGGGACGGGGAAGTCTGCAATTAGCGGTGGTGATGTTGGTGGTAGTTGTGAAGCGGCGCTGTGGGGGCAGCAGCCAACACCCGCTGGCAGGTGGCGTGTGATGGCGCATGCTGGTCACGAAGCTGTTTGCTGGAATGTTTGTTAGACTGGCCACTATTTTGTGGCTGCTAGGCGCTTGATTGCAGCTAAAAGCAGATAAAAAAAAATTATAGAAATTAGAACTAAATAAATTAGAAAAGGAAGATTTAAAAAAATAAAATAAATGTAGCTTAAAATTATTGCACACCTATGCATAAGATAGTTGTTTTCGCTTTAGTTGCTGTCTTAATACTAGAAAACCATCTTCTTGCCATCGCTCGCATAACTCATTTTAGTCTACCATACACTCTTTTCACTAACTACCTACTACTAACCCACCTACGCTTCCATTTGCTTGCCTGTGTTAGCTATGGAAAAACCCTTTGCCGCTGCGTGCTAAGTATACCTGGTCTTCTAGCCGACTCTATTGTCAAATCACTATGAGACTCTTGTCGATTTTTCCACTATATATTTTATGATCTTCCTGGAATCGGCACGCGCATTTGTCACTTGAAATGAATTTGCTTACGCTTACTCTGTTTTTTTTTTTTTTTTGTTACTGTGAGCTCGTGTGTCCTTGAAGCGCGAATGCTGTGGACACTGTCTTTAATGACTTGTTAACAAGCGTTATATGTTGTTGGCTTAGCAAAGGTAAGCGGCAAATAAAAGCTGAAAAGTGATATTTTTTGTCGACCTCTCAAAGTTGCTATTGTAATAGATGCTGCTGCTGTGCTATGCAAAAGAAAAGACCAAACGAATTCCGTATAATTTCTTTTGTTAATTTTCTAAGTAGTTTTGAATGCACTTCCTGTTTTGAACTTGTGTTCTTTTCACTTAAGATTTTTGGCATATGATGAGTTAAAAAAATTTGACTTATACAAATTTTTTTCCGTTATTAACAATATAAATATATAAAACATTTATGTTTGTACATCAAAAAAAATTTTAATTTTACATTGTACGCAAAAAAAATATTATACATATTCGCGAAATTTCGGCCAAATATAGTAAACCTGCGGTTTTAGTTTTAAACGGTGTTCAAATGAGGCGATTTTCTAGGCAATTTTAGAGGCGATTAGTTGAATCAAAAGGTAGCTGCCCCAACTTCATTGGAAGTGATTATTTGATAGGTCCTTCACAGCAGCCGATTGTTGCTTTGAACTAAAAGTTGCCCGTAAAATTGCATCACGTAAACACCGTATTAGCTTTCGACAATTCACAGATATTATTACTCAAAAACAAAAAAAAAATAGTGAAATATTAAATTTTTTGGAGCATAAGGACGAATTAAGGAATAAAAATGACATTCGAAAATCTTGATTTTGACTATTTTTTTAAATTTGCCTTTCTTTTAAAATACATGTTAAAGACTAATATATACACGACCACATCCTCGAATTTCCTACTTCTAGTTTTATTTGCCAAAAAAAACTAAATTAATTAAAATGAATTTTTCAATATATATGCGTCCTTATGCACCAAAAAAAATTATTTACTTTTTTATTTCTACAGTTTCCTCTTTTATTTGGTACCCACATCGTTATTCTAGATTGCACTGAATTTTTTAAATAAAATTTTTGATGAATCATATCTTTGAAATTTCAAATTCCTTAAAAAAAATCCC